TTCACTAACCCACATGCTAACACCAAAAGTTAGTGAGACTTAGATTTTTACCAGCTCGAAGGAGCACAAGGAAAGGAAGTCAACGGAAGGTGCGGAAGGCTTACCTAGTAAAGTGATGGGAATTTGGGTAAGCTAGTTGGTGTTGCCCATGCAGTTTACAAATTGGTTTATAAGGATGCTAGAGGGAGGATAGCTCAGAAGCTATCACTGATTAACACTAAAAAAGAGAAAAATAAATCAAAAATCTATTCAACCTCTTCAACAACTAATGCGATCTTCGTGAAGGTTAATAACATTAAAATGCTACTATTGAAATAGGAAGGTAAAAAGGAAAAGGAAAGTGTGGCTACAGGAGCAAGAATAGGAGGTGGAAAAAAAAAAAGAAAGATTTCTATAATAGTGAGATGTTTTTATTGTGAAAAATTTAAGATTTTTCTAGTTTATAATACACAAATAATAAATAACTGAGTTTTTCTTTTGTTTTGAATTTTTTTGCGATTTTGTTGGCATATTGAAGATTCTCATTTTGATAATGGCAAGAATGAAGGTAGCAACAATGGGGGAGGCAATAACAATAATAGAGACAACGAGGGAAGCAATAACAGCAGTGAAGCCAACGAAGGAAGCAGCAACAACAGTGGAGCCAACAGTGGCAACTATTAGCATATACATTTTTTTTCTTTAATTTATAAGCATTTGTATTTGAACATTATATCCAAAAATAACTAGTTTGTTTTTTCTTTTTCACTTTTGTTAGGTGTAGATGCTAGTGGAGCTAATTATGGTAATGATAGTGGAAATGGCAACTGAGTAAATGGATTTGACTTAAGTTGATTTTTATTATGGTTTTTGTTTCTTGGATAAGGCCCAGAATCCTTATAATTTGGTGAACTATTTAAAATTGATGACTCAATTGGATACTCAATGAGAGTGGCGTTGAAAGTGGTGGTGGCGTGGTTGGTGCCATCGGAACCATCCTCAATCCTTAAGCATATGGATATTAGAGAAATTGCTCAATCTTATGTTTTTTTTTTTTTTTGATTGATCAAGTGGTTGTCTTTTTTCTTTTTCTTTTTCTTTTTCTTTTTTTGACTAAAACCTCAAACACAACTACAAGTCATGAATTTGAGAATGTTACTAGTAAATGTTAATTTGTTTTGTGACTTCTATTTGCATTTGAATGTTTTTTTTTTCCAATTTTTTACTACTTTTTCTATGGGTTTGAACTCAGTTAAATCATGGAAATGACTCATGAATCAAATGATGGGTTTTGGTGATATTTTTCGTGAAAGAGAGTATAAATTTTTTTACTACTTTTCCAATGGGTTCCTACACTTAAACTTTTTTGTTTAGCCCAAAGCACTTGGTCTTGTTAAAAATACTTGGCTTTTTCTAATTGGGTTTTTCCATTTGAGTTAAAAATACTTAAACTTTTCAGATTTGTGTTAAAAACACTTGAACTTTTCTATTTTGATTAAAAACACTTGGACTTTTCTTGTTTGAGTTAAAAATACTTAGGCTTTTCAGTTTGTGTTAAAAACACTTGGACTTTTCTTGTTTGAGTTAAAA